AGAGAGAGAGAGAGAGAGAGAGAGAGAGAGAGAGAGAGAGAGAGTTCTTCTGCTTCCTCTTCTAAGTCCACCATCTCCTCCTCACCCTTTCGCTACCTGACTTCTCAGTATCTGCAGACTATGAGAGAGAGAGAGATTGGTGACTTTGGGACTTGACGACATTTGGATCCAGACTCAACATTGGGATTCAGACATTTGACGAGGGATTATTTGGGACCTGTACCGAAGACTTGGTGTTGATGACATTCCCATCTTCCCCTCTTCTTCGTCTGTGTATGGTTGGGGACTGACGCATTCTTCCTGTGTGAGCGCCAGGCCCCTTCACACCATGGAATGATGATGATGTATGTCTGGTCTGCATTGCAACATTGATTGTTCGGAACATTGGTATTTAAGCCTTCCGCTGTGCTATCTTGTACTATGTGAGAGAGGTCGGTTCTTGTTCCGGTCTGCACCTTTACGGTATGCGACACTCGGACTTTCACTGTGTGTGTGTGTGTGTGTGTGTGTGTGTGTGTGTGTGTGTGTGTGTGTGTGTGTGTGTGTTTTAAAAACCCCAAATTTTCTCTCTCATTCCATCCACGAATCGTCACAAACCATGCATAAGACAGAAAGGGGTATAGATAGACAGTATCGTAGAAGATGCAAGGTTGGCCACGTTTGTGTGGTTAAGCGCCAAGTGCCCACACGCCTGTCTGACGCCAGAGCGGTGCATTTGCACAAATATATTTTATGATCTAGGAAAGGATGGATGGCACAAGGCAACACACTCACCGAATGACAATCACACACAGCACATCAGATTATCTCATAGTGCTACAGTAAGGCCACTGCGCATACTATGCCAAACTCCACAAGATCTCCATGGAACACCAGGAGCGCTACTGCTTAAGACACCCTAGAGGCTTCCGCATTTCTTCCATGTGCTCCAAAAGAGCAGCCCTGGGGGTGACACCCACAGCAAACACTCTCTGAGCCTCCTCGCAAAGATACTGTGGCCAAAATTCCAGCATTCCCACCCCAAAAAAACTTGTGACCACCCACAAACATTCGTTGATCGAAAAGTCAGCCCATGCTGCAAAGCTGGGTAAAGAACTAGGCCATGTATAGTAAACAAAACCAACAAAACATATCCATCCACAAAAGAAGAATAGCTCGTTAGTACGAGCCCAATCCCAACCACTGAAATCTGCCAGGACAGAGAGCTAGCAAGACCATGTTGTTGTTGTGTTTTTTTTGTTTTTTTTGTTTTTTTTTTTGTTTTTTTTTTTTGCGCGCGCACGTGCGTGTGTATATGTGTGTGTGTGTGTGTGTGTGTGTGTGTGAGCATGTGCGCATGCATGAGGATGTGTGCGCGCTTCCTCGCAAGCATCTGCTAGCCCCTAACATTATTGCATCCATCTGCGTCTGCGAGGATCCAGACCCGTGCTCTGTTTATTAACAGCTACAGGTGTGTAGTACCGTGTACCCGTCATTCAGCCACATGTGAGCTATTTTCGGATTGAGGATTTTGAGCAGATGATTGATCATTCAGCAGGATACAATGATTAATATTTTTCCTTCTTTTTCAACTCTTTGGAGAACAA